CTAATCTGCTTTTAAAAAAATAAACAGTTTATCTTGGCATGGGGAAATAAAGTACAGCATAGGAAATGTCAGTATTGTTGTAATAACTGTATGTTGCCAGGTGAGTACTGGAAATACAGGAGGAACACTTTGTAAAGTATATGATTGTCTAACTACTATGCTGTACATCTGAAACTAATCTATATAAAAAAAGCCTAAGCAACTGTTACAGCAGAACGACTGGTCGCTATGATGCACACTGACCAACAGGGGGCAGACACTCAATGCAGGAGCTGCCCCCTGGTGGTCATTGTGCTCCCACAGGGGGAGCACTGCTCAGCCAGAAGCCGGGCTCATGGCTGGTGAGCGCAGTGGCAGTGGCAGAAGCCTCTCCAGCCTCTGTGGCAGTGCTAAGGAGCAGTGAGCCAAGTGGTAAGGAGCGAGGGGCCCTGGACTGCAAGAGGGATGTCCGCTGAGGGGTCCCAGACAGCAAAAGGGCACAGACCGGGCTGAGGGGACACACACACACACACACACCACAAATTTCATGTACCAGGCCTCTAGTCTATATCCTATATAGTAAAAAGGTAATATGCAAACTGACCCTAACAGCAGAACGACTGGGAATGACTGGTCACTGGGACACACACTGACCACCAGGGGGCAGATGCTCAATGCAGGAGCTGCCCCCTGGTGGTCAGTGCACTCCCACAGGGGGAGCTCCACTCAGCCACAAGCTGGGCTGATGGCTGCAAGCGCAGCAGTGGTGGCGGGAACCTCTCCCACCTCCACAGTAGTGGTAAGGATGTCCAACTGCGGCTTAGGCTTGCTCCCTAAGTATAGATACACTGTTTTTATTTCGCTCATTCCTTAATTGGTGAACCTGTAAGGGTATTTTCAGTTTTTCCTTTGTATACCTCCTGTTTAATAAAAGGGTAATATGCAGGATTGACCCTAAGGGTGGAATGACCAGAATGACCACTCAACCAGTCACTATGAGGCGCACTGACCACCTTTCAGTCCCTTTTCCTGGCTGGCAGGCTCCCATCGCCCAGTGGCGAATGGGACCTGGGGCTGGGTGGCAGAAGACACAGGCGGTTCCAGGCCAAGGCCCCTGCCCCGCCTGTTGCCTCACACACAGAGAGTGACCAGCGGCGGGGCTGGGGCCGGCAAACAGCAGCAACAGCCAACCTCTCCGTCCCTCCCCCCCTCTCCAACACTCATACTTAGCACATTTGAGTACTTTAAATTTGCATTTTACTGCTTACCATGGAGATGGAGCATTTTTTCACAGGTCCATTTGTTTTTGCAGCTATTTTTCCAGAGTGGTATTCTTACATTTGGTATTTTAACCTACAGTTTATTTTCAGAGTGATATCAGACATCCAACATTTTTTCCAAGTAAATATCCAGTGTAAAAAAGAAAAAGGAAAAAATATATAAACAGTAGACTTATTTGTAGTTGTTGCTATAATATTTAAATTGCTACTTAAATAATCCAAGCAAATTAACTGAAAAACTATTAGAACAGTTCTGCAAAGATGTTGGGATACAAGATCAGTTGAATGAATTTAGGCTTTTCATTAAAACATCAGCAATAGCCTTTCCAAAAATATAATAGGGAAACGGATCCCATTCATAATAGAAACTATACTGAAAAATAGACCTAACAATAAATGTGTAATAACAAAAAGGGGATTGCCCAAGCATTGAGCAAAACATGTTTTTCAGGCTATTAAAATTTTTAAAATGGGCTATATTGGTCAGGTACAAACAGGGTTGATGGAACAATATAATCTGGATATCCATGTTGCAATATGGTATATGAAAAGGTAACATTTCAAATCAGAAATAGGATGGGATTTTCAGTGTTCAGGGATACTAGATTCAAAACTAATTTCATTGTAGGCCCTAGGTTCACCTGGAATTTCTATTTGTTACCAAAATATTATCCTATATAATAATAGAGGAATATGCAAATTAGACAGGACACTGTAATGTCATGACAGAACAGCAGGGACCTGAGGCTGCATGGCGCCTGGCCTGGGCGAGGGACCTCAGGCCATGACGCCTTCCCTGTGGGGCTTGACAGTGGACCTCAGGCCACACACATACACACACACACACACACACACACACACACACACACACACACCCTCAGGGCTGGATGGGGGAACTCAGGCCACGCCCCTCGCCTGGCAGGGCTTGACAGGGACCTCAGGCTGTATCCCCCTGCCCCAGTGCCAGGCTGGGGACCTTAGGCTGCATCTCCCACCTGGCAGGGCTTGACAGGGGACCTGAGACTGCACCCCTCACCCGGTGCCAGGCCGGAGGATCTGAGGCTGTGCCCCCCCTGCCAGAAGGGGCTAGATGAGGGTGGGGCCGGCCGGGTCTGGGTTTCACCCAGTGGGGGTGGGGCTGGTTGGGTCTGGGTCTCGTGCATTTTCGAAGCATGTGTGGTAAGGACTTGACTCTAGGTCCCGCGGTGTGCCCCAGACTCTAACGAGAGAGATTTTCATATACATTTTACTAATTTTCTTTCATCTCTGACACTTTTATTATAGAGAAAGGGCAAATAGCAATATTAAAATATTTCCTCTAATTAATTCCCTTTTAATGTGCACGAATTTCGTGCACCGGGCCACTAGTAAATTATAAAAGAGTAATGTTATATGTAATACTCTAAGAGCACAATGATATCTCAGTCAGGCCTTTGTTCACAAGCTGTCTGCTGCCTAGACATTCAGCCCACTGCTTCTCGACCACTTGCTTTTTGCCTTATTCATATTTCCAGAACGCAGCCCAGTTATGGAATAGATGTTCAAACAGATTTTTGCCACCTCAAACTTAGATCTCTATAGGTCAGTGGTCAGCAAACTCATTAGTCAACAGAACCAAATATCAGCAGTACAACGATTGAAATTTCTTTTGAGAGCCACATTTTTTAAACATTGTTATTAACTTAATTAGGGTACTCCTAAGGCTTAGGAAGAGCCACACTCAAGGGGCCAAAGAGCCACATGTGGCTCGCGAGCTGCAATTTGCCGACCATGGCTATTTGTGGGTTAAGTCAAAATTTCCTCATATTTCAAATATTTTTAGCTTCTAGCTAAGAATTAAGATTTGCACCCTAACTGGTTTGGCTCAGTGGATAGAGCTTCGGCCTGCGGACTAAAGGGTCCCAGGTTCGATTCTAGTCAAGGGCATGTACCCTGGTTGTGGGCACATCCCCAGTAGGGGGTGTGCAGGAGGCGGCTGATCCATGTTTCTCTCTCATCGATGTTTCTAACTCTCCCTCTCTGTAAAAAAAATCAATAAAATATATTTTTTAAAAAGAATCAAGATTTGCTCTTAATTCTTGTTGTTGATAATACTCTTTCTTTGTTAGTGATAGGGAGCCTTCCCCCTCCCCCTTTAACCCTTGTATAAATGCTGGATTTTATTTACTATATTAAGAAGTCTGGAGAAACTGTTGCTACCCAAAAGGCTTCTATGATGTCACTTTGCATGGTTGCCTAGCTACTGCTAGTTAAGTAAACATTCTAGATATTTTGCTCTGAAAATTTTCCAGATAGCAAAGTTGGCACTTGAAACTCTTGGTCTAGTTTTTCTAGCATTTTGTCCCTTTTTTTGTATTTTTTGTTTGTTTTTTAGGAGAATGATTACAAAGCAGTATGAACAGAAGAAAATAATGACTGATGAATTTTTAAGTGTCTACTTTATCATAAAATGACATAGTACTGTATTTTAATTTTAGAGAATGCAGCACAGCTCTCAGCAGTAGTGGCTAAGTTTTAACTGGAGCCAGCATGCTTTACCATGGCAGTATGGAATAGTGGAAGGCAGTATGGGCTATTGAGCCTGCCTACCTAGGTTTAAATCCTGAGGCTGCCACTTAAGCTGTAGAATCCTTGAGCAGGTAGCAGCCTCTGAGTGTTTCCTCATCTTTAAAATGGGAACAATAATTCTTTTGTGAAAATGTTGGTTTAAAATAAGACAATGTATATACGATGTTTAATGCAATGTTTACCACTTACCAGGCCCTCAAATTCTTGGTAGTAATGCTACTTTGCCTCCATTAGAAATGGTACTTTAAATACCTCCCTCTGTGCTTAGCCAGTGTTCTAACAGGTGATTTCTGCTTTACTCCATCATTACCTGGAACAAGTCATTTATCCTCTCTCTACAGCTGGGGTGTTACTGTTTTTTAAGGTGAGGATGACATGTTATCTCCAAGTTTCTTTCTTGCTCTAGAATGTGTGGCTTATTTTCTTCACCCTCCCCTTAAGGCTAGAATTAAAGTATTAGCCAGGAAATTTCTTAGAGAAAAGGATAATGAGGATATGCTGTTTTCCTAATAGTCACATAAAAAATAATACTGGTATTAATAAAATCCTTCTTTGTAGCAATGCTGTTAAAGTACAAATTACTGAAAACATGAGCCCTTTTTATTTAGCAACCACCATATTTTATAAAATTTAAGGTTTCTCAAAAAATTATAAATTTTTACCACTCTTCTGTTAAATTATTGGTAGCCTATATCAGAAGGGATAACACATATAGATGTGAACATTTACATAAGAAGTGAGCAAGCTTTACCTTTTTAATTCTCATGAAAGCTACTTCATGTCCTTGGATTTATCGTGTTGTCATTCATTCAGCAAATATTTTATGTCTACCAGAATCAAGTAGAAGTTCTATATATATGAAGATGATGAAGGCCAAGGATCTCTTTCAAGTTCAGTTTAGGTCCTAACGAACAGCATTGGTATTTTTAAATCTTCCAGAATAGTTGCCTTAAAGGAAAAAAAAAAGTCTGTATTTCGACTTAATTGTCCCGGAGGTGATCATCTTTTCTCATATGTTCAGAAACTTGATGCTGTTCCACAGTGTGGTGGCTAGAAAATTCCTGTTAGGCGAGAGAGAGAGAGAGAGAGAGAGAGACCTTAAACTTGTAACACCAAGGACATATTAAATAATGGTGAAAAACATGTCTTAATATGGCTTTGTTATATTTTCAGGAAACTACTAAACTTCCTGTGCAAGCGAAGTAGAATTTCATAAGAACATAATGGGTAAGTTTCATAAGAAAATAACGGGTATTTCAACTAGTAGAAGCTGGTTTTCCCACTCGAAGATAGGCCTTCAATGTCAGTGAATGCAAATGCAAGTTAGAAAGTGGTCAAAGTAGACCACAAGTAGTTGTTTAATTCAACAACCTATGTTTACTGTACAATCTTGAAAGACAGATCAGTACCATTATTGTACCCAATAAAATCTGTGATTCCTAGTGAGTACTTTACCTTATGATATTAGAAACTTTTCCAACAGACATATAAAATGGTTTAGCTTACAAAAGAATACTAGAAGTATAAATTTAAATAACTGATAATTATTTGTATTTTTGTTCTCAGAAATTGGCAAAACTGCTGAGAACCTGTATGCTTGGATAGTTCCTAACTTAGAAGTTACTTGCATCTTTACAAGTCCCCCAGCCTTTTGTTATGAAAAATTGTAAGAATAATGCATCACCTAGCCTTTACCAGTTGTTACTGTTTTTCCACATTCGCTTTCACTCTGTGTGTGTTCACATATACATATATACATGAGTATATACACACATAAACATAAAAAATGCTTTCTTATCTATCATTTAAGATTTAGTTGTATACACCTAAATACTTCAGCATGTGTTCGCTTCATATTCAAAGTTTTTCAGTTGTTTCAATAGTGTTCTTTTCAACAGGTTTATTTTTTTAAATCCAGGATCTAATCAGGAATCATTTATTGCATTAATTTGTCTCTTTAGTCTACTTTTTAATTTTTTAGTACATATATGTTTTTATTTTTGATAGTATTACAGATGTCTCCTATTTCACTCCCTTTAGCCCCCTCCCACTTAGTGTCCTTTAAACAGTTCCCTACCTGGCTGTCCTGGGGTGAGGAGTGAAGTCTTCCATGGCACTTTTAAATTTAGATTTGTCTCAGTGTTTTCTCCTATTACATTCAGAGTAAACATTTTGGGCAGCACTAGCACATAAGTGATTTTGATATTTATTAATGTTAATTTTAGGGATTTCTAAATTAACTATTAAGAAATAAATGAGTAGCCCTGGCTGGTGTGTTTAGTGGTTACAGCATTGGCCCTCTCATCAAAAGGTTGCAGGTTAATCTCCAGCGGGGCCGGGTGTATTCAGGAGGCAACCAATCAATGTGTCTCACATCGATGCTTCTCTCTCTCTCTCTCTCTCTCTCTCTGTCTCTCTCTCTGTTCCTCTTTCTCTTTTTCTCACCTCCTCCCCTCTTTCCTTCTACTCTCTAAGAAAAAATATCCTCACCTGAGGGAAAAAAAGAAGAAAATGAATAAATGTGTGTTAGTACCTGAACATTACTTCAGCCTCATCCTATGTACTTCTTTCTAGGGCTCCCTAAATTTTTAGAAAAAGCCGTAAGAAACTTTCAGATATTGGTAACCATAAAAATTAAAATTCTGTCAGTATAATATTGTGAGAGTGATATATGTGAGAAAGATCTTAAAGGAATATATAAATATATATACTTCCCAGAAAGTTATATTGAGCTAGCCACTGTGCTGAAGCCAGTATGGCATCAGTGAGGTTAGCAAGTGACATGTATACACTCCTGTCTCTTCGCCTCTACTTTCAGTGTTTAAAGACTGAATTTGTCTGTATTCATTACTTCCATTGTGTAATAATTTAAACTGAGCAATAAAATATTTTGATCATTATTTTTGTGGATCAAGAATAAAATCCTAAGTAAAAGAAGCCCAAACATTTAGCATTTGGGCTTGTCAGAAGTTGAGCTCACATGGCATATAAACATTCATTCATTAACACATGCATTTTATTTTTAAAATAAATATTTCAGGTGATAGGATTAAAGTTTTACCTTTTTTTAAATTGATTTTTTAGAAATAGAGGAAGAGAGGTGGAGGAAAGAGAAATATCAATGTGAGAGCACATCTATCGGCTGCCTCCTACATGCCCCCTCCTGGGGATGGAATCTCTAGTGCATGGGACGACACACAACCAACTGAGCCACACCAGCCAGGGCTAAAATTTTACTATATGAATATTTTGTTTTAGTCTTCAAATTTGAATTTGCTGCTGTGGTCACAAAAATACTATTAATACTTCCTTGAAAAATAGTGGTAAATTTTCACCCAAAGTAACATCCTTGAATGTAGAGTTATTGTGACATTGGAAAATGTGTAGAAAGTAGTAAACAAGAAGCTTACAATCTTTAAAATCTTGGTAGCTATTACCCACGAGAAATCTTTCTGGTCTGAGTTTCTCAAATATTAACCTTGGTAAACCTGTTTATTGTTCATAAATTTTGTGATTCAAAAGTCATTTTACTACTTTATTTAGATGGAGAAGAGAAAACCTATGGTGGCTGTGAAGGCCCTGATGCCATGTATGTCAAATTGATATCTTCAGATGGTCATGAATTTATTGTAAAAAGAGAACATGCATTAACATCAGGAACAATAAAAGCCATGTTGAGTGGCCCAGGTAGGAACATTTCCTTTATTTTCTCTTCATATGTCTTCACTTTTAATGTTTGATGAATGTTTTAAAGTGAAATGACTCATAACATTTAAGAGATAGTAACTGTTTGAACATCACATAATTGAATGTTGCACTGGGGGGAAAGTTGGTTTCTGCCATACCCTGTTTTTAGGCATTTACCCTAGTTTCAATAAGAACCAGTTGGTTACTTTGAAATAGGAAGGATCATTTTCCTAGGTTAGTTTCCATGGTCAGCTTCTTCTGCACAGGCCTCTGGTGATTTGTGCTCCTGCTTCTAAAGTTTTTCTATAGAAGTTACCACCTCCCAAATATCTACCCTTAACATTTTCTCTGAGTAATTTTTCTTGAGGATTGGAATTTCTGGAACATATGGTGGCTTCTATGTTTAACTTTTGGAGGAAATGCCAAACTTCGCACAGTGGCTGAACCATTTTATATTCCTACCAGCAGTGTATGAGGGTTCCTTATGTGGTTTTCTCCACATCCTCACTGACACTTCATTTGCACTTTTTTTTTATTCTAGCCATCCAAATGGGTACCAGTAGTGTGTCATTGTGGTTTTGATTAGCATTTCCCTAGTGACTAATGATGTTGACTCTCTCTTCATGTGCTTGCTGGCTATTTGTGTATCCTCTGGAGAAATGTCTCTTCAAGTCTGTTGCCGACTTTTTAATTGGGTTGTTTTGTTTGTCTTTTCTATTGTTGAGTTGTAAGAGTTCTTTATAAATTTTGGACACTAGATTCTTATCAGATACATGATTTAATATTTTCTCCCATTCTGTAGGTTGTCTTTTTCTTAGTAGTATCTTTTATTCTTTTCTTTAGAAAAAAAAATACATGGGGGGGGGGGGAATGGACACATATGTAATACCCTTTGTAATAAAAAAATTTAAAAAAAAGAAAAAAAAATACATGTTTTTTTAGAAATGCTTTTTTTTTAATATATATTTTTTATTGATTTCAGAGAGGAAGGGAGAGAGAGGTAGAAACATAATGATGAGAATCATTGATTGGCTGACTCCTGCATGCACGCCGCCGCCGCCACCACCAGGGAACAAGCCTGCATTTCGGGCATGTGCCCCTAACTGGAATCGAACCCAGGACCCTCCAGTCCACAGGCTGATGCTCTATCCACTGAGCCAAAACAGCTAGGGCTTTAAGTATATTTTTGTTGATTTCAGAGAGGGAGAGAGATACAGAATCATCAATAATGATAGAGAATCATTGATCAGCTACTGCCTCCTGCACGCCCCACACTGGGGATCTAGCCCGCAACCCAGGCATGTGCCCTGCCTGGGATTAGAACTGTGACCTCCTGGTTCATAGATCGATGCTCACCTACTGAGCCACGCCAGCCAGTCTTTAGTAGTATCTTTTGATGAACAAAAGTTTTTATGTTGATGAAGCCAAATTTATCTCCTATCCCATTGCTGTTTTGGGGGGCCTGTCTAAAAATCCATTGTCAAATCCAATGTCATGAAGATTTACCCCTATGTTTTCTTATAAGAGGGCTATGGTTTTAGCTCTTGTAATTAGGTTTTTTATTTTAAGTTAACTTTTGTGCATGGCATGAGGTAATAATTTATCTTTCGCATGTGGACATACCCATACCATTTGTTGAAGAGACTATTCTTTTTTAAATATGTTTTTTATTGGTTTTAGAGAGGAAGGAAGAGGGAGAGAGAGAAAAAAACATCAATGATGAGAGAGAATAATTGATCGGCTGCCTCTATCCACTGAGCCAAACCAGCTAGGGCAAGAGAGACTATTCTTTACCCCATTGAATGGTCTTGGCACCCTTGTTGAGAATCAGTTGATCACAGATATGCGGATTTATTTCTGGGCTCTTAATTTTTTTCCATTGTGCTATATATCTGTCCTTACCTCAGTACCAAACTGTCTCATGAGGGGTTTGGGGGTGTTGTTGTTAATCCTTACCTGAGGATATGGTTTCCATTGTTTTTCAGAGAGAGTGGAAGGGAGGGAGCGGGGAGAAAGGAAAACATCAATGTGAGAGAGACACATTGATTGGTTGCCTCCCACATGCGCCCAATTGAGGGCAGGGAGCAAACCTACAACTCAGGTATGTGCCCTTGACCCTTCAGTGCAGGGGCCAATGCTCTAACCATGCTCAGGGCCAAACTGTTTTGATTTACTGTAGCATTGTAGGAAGTTTTGAAATAGAGAGATGTGAGGCTAAAGATTGTTTTGGCTATTTGGGGTCCCTTGCAATTCCCTTTCTATATTTTTTTACTATGGAAACTTAAAAACTACATGGAAGTAGAGAGACGAATACACCTCCAAAAATTTACCAACATTTTGCCAATCTTGTTTCGTCTCTTATTCTCACTTTTTAAAGAGTATTTCGAGCAAATCCCTGACATTGTCATTTCCCTCATAAAATCTTTATAGTCCCCCTGAACCGTCCCTTTGTTCCAGGCCATCAGTTTTACAAAGAAACATGTTATTTATATAATGTCCACATCCTGATTAGACTTACTGTTTCAGCTTGTAAACTCATAATTAGACTCCAGAGGCTTGCTTAGAATCTGGTTCATTTTACTGGGCAAGAATACTTCATAGGTGGTACTATTATATCCTGTTGTAACACATCTTTTAGCAATGTCAAGATTGAGTAGTGGTTCCAGGGTTATCAGGCTGATTTCATCCATGAACAATTCCCCAGTCAGACTTTCATGTAATGGTTTTAGCATTCATTGTGATTATTGCTGAGATATATACTTCATTTGGAATTACAAAACAGTGATTTTTTAATTGTGTAGTTTCTTCTGCATTTATTAGTTAGAAATCTCTTTTAAAGAACTGTTTGGTGATCCTGAAATACAGTCTGTACAGGAAAGAAAAGTTAAATGCTTAATTTTCCCCCCCTTTACATATAATTTTGCAGTGTAATGAATTGCTTCTCCAGCATCCTCCAATAGAAAAGAGTGTTTGGGGGTTTTTTTGTTTGTTCTTTTACACATCATTATCAGCTCCTGACTTTATATATATAGTGCTTTTTCACCTGGCCCAGTCTTTCTCATTGGTGCTCAAGCGCTCCATTTTTACGACAGAAGGACCCACATCATGTTGTTTTCTGCGTCCTTTTGACATGGCTCCATTGATCTTGGATAGTTACTACTTTCTGTAATACCAAGATTTCTCAGGCTCATTTTGCATGTTATTCCATTAATCCTGAGAATGACCATTTTTCCAAGAGCCCCTATTTCTTTTCATGGGAAATGGTACTTAGGGACCCCAGTCTGTGTGCTAGCAGGAACATTGCTCCTGGCTTGAATTGCTTTCGACTTCTATGGGACAGCTGGGATGTACTTTATGGGGGGGCGGCGGGGATCGCAGATGCCAAGAAAATTTTAAAAATTAGAGGACCTTTGCTTGTTGTATCCTTGATCTCCTTTACTTCAATAAGAAGAGCTTTATCTTGAAGATCAAACTTTCAGCCCAAAACTAATGCTTCATAAAGAAGAATGAAATGCTGATATAGGCCATAACATGGATGCACCTTCTAAACATTAAGCTAAGTGAAAGAAGCCAGTCACAAAAGGTCACATGTTGTGTGATTCCATTTGTATGAAATATCCAGAGTAGATAAATCCATAGAGATAGAAAGTAGATTGGTGTGATAGAAAACAGAGGTTGGGGGTAGGGAAACAGGGAGTAATTGCTTAATGGTTACAGGGTTTGATAAAAATGTTTTGAAACAAGATAGGGTGGTTACACAGCATTGTGAATGTAAACTGAATTGTACTCTTTTTAAAATGGTTAAATTTGTGATACGAATTTCACCTCAAAGAAAAACCATAAATGTTTGTCTAGTCTCAAATAAATGCCTATTGGTAATTTTCATACATATATTCAAGAAAGAAAATTTTTATTATTGGCAAACCAAGTTACCTATAGCTGTGAATTATTTTGCTGAATCCTGCTCTTCTTTCCTCCCACCCCCCAGCCAACATAAAATTAGAAACCCTTTAAAATACTACATTCTCAGAAAGTATATTTTTTCTGCCTTTTGTGTTTAGGTCATAATGCTTGTTCATAAATGCTAAGAAAATATTTTTGGTGGTTGCTATTTTTTTTAAATATGTATTTATTGATTTTAGAGAAGAAGGGAGAGAGAATTGTCAAAGTGAGAGAGAAACATGGACCTGTTGCCTCCCATATGCACCACAACAGGATCGAACCCAAAACCCAGGTATGTGCCCCGCCTGGGAATCAAACCGATGACTTTTATATGACTAAAGAAATTTTGAGAGATTACTACAAATTGTTAAGACTTATTAAATAAGATCTCATTAACATGATTATATTTTTAAAAACTAAAGGGGGAAACAGCACATTTTCTTTCCTGAAAAGGTTTATAGAATAGTATTTCACCTATTATTTATTTTTACATGGCAATTCAATATAGCACAGGGCTCCTTATGGTCCATGAAGACTTGATTCCTACTTACCCTTCAGTAATCCCAACATCAAGATTCTTTGGAAAAGCTCCAAAGTGTCCAGACTTTCAGGAGAGAATCAAAATTTTAAAATTCAGTCTTGATGAATCTCAAATGCTATCTTAATAAAGATCTTTTTATGTTTATACTCAAAAGTCAGAGTTAGATATTTTGCTTGATGCTAGTTGGATTTATTTCGTGTCGTAATAATTTGCTAGGGCTGCCATAGACCCGCCCTGGCCAGTGTGGCTCGGTCATCCACGTGCACTGAGAGATTGCCAGTTTGATTCTCAGTCAGGGCACATGCTGAGGTTTCAGGCTTCATCCTTGGTAGGGGACCATGCAGGAGGCAGCCGATCCATGTTGTGTTCTCACAGTGATGTTTCGCTCTCTCCCTATCCCTTTCTCTCTCTCTAAAATAAATAAGTAATTTTTAAAGTACCATAGGCTGGGTCATGTAGATAACAGAAATTTATTTTGCATGGTCCTAGAGGGTAGACATTCAAGATCATGGTGTCAGCAGTGTTGGTTTCTTCTGAGATGGCCTTCTTCCTGTGTCTTCACATTGTCTTCCCCCTATTTGTGTCTGTGACCTAATCCCCCCCCTTTTTTTAATATACTTTTATTGATTTTAGAGAGGAGGGGAGAGAGAGAAGGAGATAGAAACATCAGTGATGAGAGAGAATCATTGATCGGCTGCCTCCTGCACACCCCACACTGGGGATAGAGCCTGCAGTCGGGCATGTGTCCTGACCGGGAATCGAACAGTGATCTGGTTCATAGGTCAACCACTGAGCCACTCCACCTGGACCCTAATCCCCTCTTATAAGGCTAGCAGTCGCATGATTAGAGCCCATCCTAATAAATCCTATTTTGCTTTAATTACCTCTTTAAAGACCCTGTCTCCATGCTCACTTTGGCAGTATGTATACTAAAATTGGAACGAAGCATGGTCCCTGTGCGAGGATGACATGCAAATTTGTGAAGCATTCCATATTTAAAACGCTTCCTGAACAGGAGGGGGGCGGAAAAAACACCCATCTCCAAATATAGTCACATTCTGAAATTCTGGGTGTAAGGACTTCCACATGAGAATTTTGGAGGAACGCCCTTCAGTGCATAACCTACCTTTTTTTTTTCTTTTATAGGTCAATTTGCTGAGAATGAAACTAATGAAGTCAATTTTAGAGAGATCCCTTCACACGTGCTATCAAAAGTGTGCATGTATTTTACTTACAAGGTTCGCTACACTAACAGCTCCACGGAAATTCCTGAATTCCCAATTGCACCTGAAATTGCACTGGAACTGCTGATGGCTGCAAACTTCCTAGATTGTTAAATAAAATAAATTATAATAAACTGTTAACTTTTTCAGTATTTAATACCTGTAGTTCAGTTAGTAATTTTTTCATATATAGCATGTTGCCTGTGTGCGATTGAACTTTAAAGTTCATTGCAAAGCAGACTATCGTCTCTTCTTTTGCATGACACAGTTGAAATTTGTTTGCTACATCAACAGATTAAGGACATTTTCACAAATTGAGAAATAAACAAATATGTCAGTTGCTAAGTAGTTTTGCCTTACCCTTTGGATGTGATTTTTAAAATTAGAGCGGTGGCAATATAGTAAATGCTGAAATTTAGTCATAAATGAACATATTCTACAGGTAAATATTGGGCTATGTATTTTTATGTTTTTAGTGTTTTGGTTTTTTTTACCTATTCTGATCTTATAGCCATCATTACCATTAGAATTATGCAAATAATTGCATTATAAACATGTTTATAACTTAGCCAAATGTTGATTTTTTTATAATTGTCAAAGACATGAGTTGAAATTTCTTATGTGTCTTTTGATAAACTGCAGTATTGTTTAAGTGTATCTTGTCTTTTTGTTCATTGCTACAATTTAAAAACTTTATTTAAAAGCAGTTTGGCAGATTACTTGGTACGGCTGTTGGAACAGTGACCTTTTGAACTGTAGCCACATGGTCAATAAGTAAAGTACATGACCTTGATTTCATGTGTACTGTGCATTTTGGCCAATCCAAAGTACTGTATTTTCATTGACTATAAAGCTTCCTTTGCAATATTCGTTCTTCTTACATAGTCCCTTGTTGTGATTATACTTCTGGTTATTTAAATGTTTTAAAAGATTCACTATGAACTTTACTCACATCTTAAAAGCTAGACTTTTCTGAACAATTCCAGTCTTCCTGCATCCAACTGAAATGTTATAAAATGTGACAAACGTGGACAGACATAGTGCAAGTCTTATAATGCACTTTGATACAATATATGAATTATCTTGTGTCCCAATAAATATGCCCATCATCTGTGGGTCTTCTACTGATATCTAACTTAGAAAGAGATCATTCAACTTTTATACCAAGCAGACAAAAAAATTTCAAAAGCTATGACAGAGTATCTCTGCTGAGGCCTGGGAAAAGAGAACTGTAGTTTGGTTTATTATTTCTATCTTAGTAAATCAAGGCTATCATTAGGGTTTTTAAGTTTTCATCTTAGTTCTTCAAGACTGGTTTAATATGGATCAGTTTTTATGGAAACTGCAAAAATCATAACCAAGATCTAGAAATGATTTTCCTCTTAGAAAACTTAACATTGTACTTTACAGCTTATTGAAAGCAGTTAAATATATATGTTAGTTCCATATATTTAGTACCTTCCTAAGATATTCTGATACATATTTCAGTATAGAAGATTATCAAGTACAAGAATTATATCTGCTACTTGAGACAAATAATGTCAGTTATAAGCCTAAATAGTAAAAGGTTAAGGTGATAGCTAGAATCAAGTTTTACCTTGACCAATTTTTGTAGGTTACTTTTTATGTTAGATCCACAAGTAACCTTAAGTCAAAATATTGAAAAAGAACTGAAAGATTAGGAGAACGTGTATATCTTGTGGCAAATGGTACTTGCATGTTAATAAAGGCTCTGTTGACTGAAAGGTTGGATGAACACTTGGTGTTTGATCTTTTTAGCCTTAATTTTCTCTTGAGGATTCATGAAACTATTTGCTTCAGGACATCTTATTAAACAGCCGGAATTTTTATTTGGTTAAATTTAAGAAGTTAATTTTATATAGCATGGAAACTTTATCAGCTTTCTGACACTTGGTAATTAGTTTACTTTTTTAATTATGTTTAAATTATGTGTAAGTTTCCTCTATATCCTTTTTCTGCACAAATATTCCCACAAAATCCTGTTTTATTCAGTTAACATTTAATTTTTGTACTATCTAGATTATTTTATGCTTTCTAGATTGCTTGTCTTTTATGTAATTATTGACAGATAACAGTTTCCTTTTGAAGAATCTTGTTGGTATTGAGAAATACAATTTATTATAAGCTGCAAATTCAGCTTGTTACAAGAGAGAAATATTTAGAGACATCTTGCTATTCATGGACCTGTCATCTTAGTCATTTTGCTAAGTTTATCAATTACTTGCAAAACAGTATAAATATTCTGAGAAATAATATGAAATTGCTGTTAAAGATTGAAGAGTGATTAAATTAATCCCTAGTAATTCTTATGTAGGGGAAATTTCATACAGACTTAGCGGTGCCGAATTGAGGTATTGATTGGTTATGCCTAAGTTTGATAAAGCATGATCTGGAAATTAATACATGCCATTGACTTTATATATGTGGTATTTTATTTGCAATATATAAATCTGGTTTAATTTAAGTCAGTCATGTTTGTGCTCAAGTTTTATATTCCTGTTGGGCTAAACTCTTGAATATTGTACTTAATGGTTTATTGGTTTAAACATTGTTTTGCCCTGAAGTATTTTGGTATATTAGAGCACCAACTGAGAGTTAGAAAGTCTGAAATCTTGTGCAAATTAGCCATGTGATCTTGAATAAGTCACTAGGCCTTAATTTCACATCTAGAAAATTAGGAAGCTGCACATCTCTAGGATGATGTTTACCACTTTTTAAAAATATATATTATTGATTTCAGAGAGGAAGGAGGAGGGACATTAATGATGAGATAGAATCATTTATTGGCTGCCTCCTGCACATCCACACTGGGGATCAAGTCCACAACCCGGGCATGTACCCTGACCAGGAATGAAACCATGACCTCCTGGTTCATAGGTCAACACTCAACTGCTGAGCCACACTGGCTGGCCAGACACCACTTTTTTAAAAAAATATTTTTTAAAGATATTTTTATTGATAATTTACAGAGAGGAAGGGAGAGGGATAGAGAGTTAGAAACGTCAATGAGAGAGAAACATCCATCAGCTGCCTCCTGCACACCCTCTACTGGGGATGTGCCTACAACCAAGGTACATGCCTTTGACTGGAATCGAACCTGGGACCCTTCTGTCTGCAGGTCAAGGCTCTATCCACTGAGCCAAACCAGTTAGACCAACACCACTTCTTTTTATAAGCAAACAAGATTGCAACATTACTGATCATTAGATCAGAATAAATGAGAGAAAATGGTTTTCTTGCTGCATCTCTTAAATCTATAAATTTAACTTTGCTGCTTTTGATTAGGCATTAGTTATTACACATCAGTACTAAATATATTAACTAGATTAATTTAGGATTCTTGTAGTTTTCTATTGCCTGCCATATAAAGAAAATCCAGTTTTAGCTCTGGTTGTCAATAATCCTATATAATAAAAGCCTACTATGCAAATTGACTGAACAGTGGACTGACTGGTGGCTGTGACACACACTGACCACGCTCAACGCAGGAGCTGCCTGCAGGCCCCAGGCCAGCCAAGATAGGTTCCAGGGGATGGGGAAGAGCCGATCGCTCCGCTTGTTGCCCTGCAGAGGGAGGCAACTGGCATGGGGGTGCAGGGCTGGCCTAGGTGGGTGCCACTAGAGCCCCCGCCAGTCACCCCACAGATCGGCACTGATCGCCAACAAGGCCTAGGGACCTTACCTGTGCATGAATTTCATGCACCAAGCCTCTAGTTGTTGATATAAAAGGAAATTGTGCTGTTTTCATGCCAATATATGCAATGCCAGGTCAACCCAAAACTCATTTTTCATTCATATTCTAATTAACTTACCCTGAATTAGGTACATATGTAAAATCTTTAATTCATGTATCTAGCTGAAAACAAAAGACTTTTGTAATGTCCTGTGGAATATTCCATTTCCTTCCTCCACATTCCCTGGTTGGTACCTCCAATCCAAGTTGCTTTTAATTGGAAAAGTCTAAGTTGCTTTGGCATAGAACTTAGTCTTAATCAAGTTCTATAAATCTTGTGTTTGTTACTTCTTCCATAGGACCTAAGTGGATCAGAATCAGATTTTCCCCTCTTTATAGTACTAGATGTTTTCAGTAATTTGTAATAGAAAATGTTTTATTACATTTACCTAGATACATGTATGTGCTGACCTTTATCTGTGATAGGATCTATTGCTTCACTTTTTTTTTAATTAAATCTTTATTGTTCAGATTATTACAGTTGTTCCTCTTTTTTTTTTTTTTAA